AACCGAGTTTCCAACAACACTAGTACCGTTCCCGGACGAACCGACTCCCACGGCACTCACACTCTCACCACCCAAGGGCCCCTCCTGATGCGACTGGGACTCACTAACAACATCGGCCGTAGCATTCCGGCCCACACTCGTGTCGCTACCCGAGGCAACACCACGCCCCCTACCGCGACCATGCCCACGACCACGACCACGACTACGACCGACAGCTCCACCTCTAACCATCTTCAACACAACAGAAGGCTAAGAACACCAAACAAATCACCAAAACACACAACTTACCGTGGAATCTCATTGAAGGCTCGAGAGGATGATCTAGGTCTCCATGCTCACACAATTGATTAAACACACAATCAATCAGCATGCTATCCACATCATCATTCCTCATCAATGAAATTCACACATCACATCACAAATTTTACCAATTAAATCTCGTCCTAGAACCGTAAATGATCTGATACCAAATTGAAAGAACCCATCCCATTTTTTTTTCTTTTAAACATGCAAACCGGATTAACCTAATTAATTAAAACCAGCTAAACCGGCCATAATAATTTAAATCAATTAAACCAAGCAATCTCATTAAAGTAAACCAACAATATTTACCAGCGGAAGACTTAACCAAAATCTAATAAAACAATTCCATTAAACCAACAAGTTCAACCAAACATTATTCCAAAACATGATCATCCTAACATGTTTCTAAATTCCATTCTAACACCCTAACAAATCCAACAATAATCTAAAACACCAATGAGCACCTAGATCATCCTCTTCTCCTCGCCATGATTACACGAATCACACTTTGCTTTTACCTGCATCAAAGAAAGAGATGCATAAGTATTTCATAAATACTTAGTGAGGGCGATCCTCCCATCTACGAGCTATACACTCAAGCAATGAGATTACACCCACATATATAACAAAAACAAACCATCCAGCAAGCTAAACATCCAATAACACATCCAATTCACCTACAAATCATCACAAAACATGTCACTCGATCCCAATCGCTTAGATAAGATCATGGTCACGCACTCACCTTAACAAGGTTATTTGAATTACAAAAAAAAACCAGGAAAGACTCCTCGTGACTGCAACAGCCAAACAACGCCCTACAACAAACCACACAAACAAAAATCTCTAAGAATCAAAAGGACAGAAACAGCAGAAAAACTACAGCCGCAGAAACGAAGAGCTAAAACATAAACCAACCGTTACATTCTTAATCTCTACGGTGAAAAGCAAGATCCAGACGTCAAAAAGCTGCCCACAAAAATTGGTGCCGATCAGAGAAGGGATGAAACCACGATCGCACTTACAAACTCCGCTGATCCCAGTTCGCAACAGAGAAAACGCGTCTCACCAAACTGCATATAACTCACTGAGTATTAATTCGAATTCATTTCTGTAAAAAGGAGAATCAACGTACACGCCTTAAGACCAAACCTACCAAAATTCATTACCTTTCGATAAGATTTGATACGTCGTAACTCTGTTCTACCAGGACGTGACGAATCTGCTTCTCTTGCCTTAAACACCAAAGCAAAGCTAACCCTCTCCTTCTCACAAGTGAACTTCTCCTTCTCATTTTCTCAAATCAACTCTCAGAAAAAACAGCGAAAAAACAAAAGAGAGAATGAAGCGTTCTTTATAAAACTAGGGTTTTTGTTTCAATTTTGATTAAACCAGGGTTTACCTAAACCGACATTAATTAAACCTTTTTTTATTCAATTAAACAAATCGACCAGTTTAGGAAATCCACCGGAATTAAACCGACTCCACCCTAATTCTTATACATATTCAAGTCTCCTATTAATTTTCAGAACACGGGCGTTACACATGCGCAGACTACCTTACTGGAATCTGGTTTGAGCACTGGATGAGGTCTCATTTCGTGGGCGGCAGGTACAATGTCATGACCAGCAATATTGCGGAATCGCTAAACAACGTCCTAACCATGGCAAGAGACTACCTGGTAATCTCTATCATGGAAACAATCCGCACAACACTAGTGACGTGGTTTGCATTGAGGAGAGAAGCAGCCAGAGTAGAAGAGAACATATTACCTCCGAAGGTTAATGATATGGTCATCGAGAACTATGAGAAAGGATCTAGTTTCATGGTTATGAAGGTAGGAGATGGGGTGTATGAAGTGCATGATGATAAGGACTCAGCATTTTCGGTCAACCTCTGGGAACGGACATGTATCTGTAGAGAGTTCTAGATACTGACAATCCCTTGCCCCCATGCTATTACTGCTGCAATCAAAGAGGGTATTAGGGTAGACACCTTGGTGGGAGTTTCTCACACAGTTCCAACCCTGAGGTTCTGTTACAGCGAGATGATAATGCCAATTCCTGACATGGAAACACTAGCACCTTCTCCTAACGACATAGGTGGTGGTAAGTTGGCACCTCAAGGGGAGAGTTCAGGGTAAGTTAAGTCCATGTAACAAATACGTTGGTCTATAAATTGTTTGTTATTGCCTAAAACCAAATACATAAGTCCATGTAACAAATACACAACTTTGTGTTTAACTAAACAATGTTTAGTACAAGAACATTGTTTGGGTAAACAATGTATTTTTATAATTAATGAAGAAAACTTGGTCCCCATAAATCGTTAGTGATTCGCTATACTTCGAAGTATTAACTAATAATGCTCTTACTATATCAAAGTCTACGATGTAAAATGGTGGTCAATATCGAAACGGATCTGATAAGATACCTAAGAATCAAAATAATTCTAAGTGTTAAAACGTACTATGTTAAATAAATTATTTTGTAGATTAAAAAAGCTAAAAGTTATGAAAGGATAGAAAAAGCTAAAAGTTATTTATATTTGCTTGCTAAACAGTTTGTTATAAAATAAAGTGAATTTTTACTGAATAAAATTTAATTAAATATATCCATAATGGTATTAACTTGCTAAGACACCCATTATCTTAACAAGGCATTAGTGTCTCCTTTAAATAAAGTTATCGTCTAAAAAACAATTAACGTATAACGAAAAATCAGTGGTGTTGGGGTCCTATAGACGGGAAAAGTTGTGTCACACACGATTTAAACATATCAGACTACCAACCAATATTGGGGGCATATGGTTCTTTAGTTATAGCAATTGGGGGAAATATAGACAGGGCTGCTCTATTTCCTTGAGGATTACTACCTAATGTCGACACGTTCGTACACACCCAAAAGCGTGGAATAGATAGGAGAGGATTATGAAGACAGTGGTATTCCAACTGTTTGTTACTATGGCGGGAAGGCTCAGCTGGAACCTTAAATGACTAGAACGAACCCAGGACGGCTATACTACACATGTCCTAACCGCGAGGTAATATATGGGATGTATATATGAAAAATTTCATAATTGCGAACTGTCAGTATTTTTACTTAGAATTAGAGCAGGATGGAGAATGTCACATTTGGAAGTGGTGGGATGAAGCTATTGTTCAGGAAATAACAAGATTGAAGCGACATGATCTAGAGTCTCCAAATATAAACAATATGAAAGAAACTCTATTGGTCCATGGAGACGAGATATCTCACCTCCTCGATCTCCACTCGGTCAATGTTAAAGAATTGGCAAGACTTAAGATGTTGGTAGGAAAAGAAAAAGAAACAGTCGCCGGGAAACTGAAAAATGCGGTTGTTGCAGCTTTTATTATCTTTGCAATGATAGTTTACATTCTAAAGTACCTTAGTCAAGGTAACCAGCATAAATGTAGCTTCTTCGTTCCTTTCCTGGAATGGTGTTGGAATGCATAGTCGCCACCGATAACATCAACCTTAGTGATCAACTTTACAGTATCTTAAGGCACTTAGCATGTAACAAGATGTTTGCTTCAATTATATAACTTTCTGTCTTTGCAAAGTAACAATCATTGATAATCATCTAACTGGGTAGTGCATTACAAGAGAAAGGGTGAGTTAAAAATTGATACCTAAATAGGGTGAGTTAAAAATTGGTACCTAGATAAACTGAAAAAAAAAAGTAAGGATGTAATAATCCAAAAATTATTTCTCTAACCAGCAGTAACGTAAAATTACATTTCTGACCCTGATTTGATTTAGCTAAAACAAACAAAAGAGAGTAGCATACGTAACACTGTTCATAGCATTCGATAACTTATTTTTAAACATGTTAAATAAATTGTTATCGCGATAATTGAGATATTATCAGTTAAATTAAGACTAACACTATTCATTTGTGATTGATAGAATTCGATAACATTGTTCATCCGTGACTAATAGCATTTGATAACTTATTTTTGAACATGATAAATAATCCGTTAGCGCAAAACCTCTAATTTTGTCAACCCAAACCGTTAATTACAAAATCTAAATCCTAACCACTATGTCAAACCAAACCAAAATTATATTTTGTTTAATTACAAAAAATATACCCTAACCACTATTTGTCAACCCAAACTGAAATATAATTTCATTTAATTGTAAAATATAAACCCTAACCAATATTTTGTCAACCCAAACCAAAATATAACTTTGTTTAGTTACAAAATATAAACTCTAACCACCACTTTATAAACTTAACATGCTAAATAATTTATAGTGTTAAACTTAATATGCTAAATAATTATGGTTTATTTATTATGGTGTATTTTTAGTGTTAAAGTTTTAAATAATATTCTTAACATGCTAAATAAAATGTGATTTGACATAGGTATTTTTTTTTTTGGGGGTCTACGGTTTGTAGTTTCCCAAATATTATTCGTTTGCTAGCACCGATAATGGTGTTAGCGGCAATGTCTAATTAAGAGATAATCATATAATAACGTATAATTTATTAATGGTGTCACTGAAAGGCTTTGCTAACTCGTTATCTAATAAATTAAACATTACGGTAAAGCACATAGTTTTGACTAGAAAGTGTTGGTAAAAAGTAATACAATAAATTGTTCACGTAGGACAGACCAAAACAAACCGGAACAGAAAAAGTTATCTAAGAAGAACACTTAAGATCAACCATAACAAAGACATTAAAGGATAATACATTAAAGTATCACAAAGACATTAAAGGACAGCTGAATTGTTTACACCCACCAATGAGCTACCTACTCGACCCCAACAAGGATTATTGCAGATATAAATTTCTTCAGCTCGGGATCCAATTGCTCGACGGTCAAGTCACCACACTCCTCTAACCCATCGGTTGCATGTGCGTGTATCAAAAAGATAGACTTAATGCTAGAGTCTGTAGGCCACTTTACCTGCGGTATGCTAGATGGCCTTGAGATGCTGAAATGGGTGGTTGACCTCTTCCTTTTCCCATGATAAACCCCATGCTGGATGAGAAGATATGGCAGCATTAGCGCAAAGGGTTGTAGTTCACCAAATCTATCATGATCTTTCCGAAGTTGGATATTGGAGTCAAGAACAACGATGCTCGTGATGCAGAGATCGATGCACAAAGACAGCCAATGCTTCCTATCAAAACTAAATGGCGCATAAAGGAAGCCACCTTCGGTAAATAGCTCAGTACGTCCACTTTCTCCACCACCTACTAGTTGCGCAACAACGTCGCCAGGAAATTTGAATTTCCCCTGAGCAGTGGATTTGGAAAACTTTGGGAATTGGCGAAACAACAAGGATACAAAATTCGTATCTAACAAGTCAACTCGCAGTTTTTCACCATCAAGGTCCTCAGTTCGTAATAAGTGCCGGCTAAACTTGATCAAAGCGTCCATGACCTGGCAAATAGGGTAGGTCAAAGTTATCTACAATTTACACAGCTATGAATGAATGATAATAAAAAAATTTACCTTGGCTAAGAGATGTTTTTTCCTCTCTACTATATCAAGGACCTCTTTGACAGAAAGAGAAGCCTCACCACCAAGACTGATTGATATGTGGAATCGAATAGAACCACATAGTTAATACACCATAATCTACTCGAATATATCATAAGACAACATTAAAAGGTACCTGGAGGACTTCAACTTTTTAATAGAATTCTGGAACCCTTTCTCAGGGTCATCTACAAAATTAGGATCCTTTACGACCGGGGGAGGGTGTCCAACTAACAGTTTAGTCTTCTTGTCAAACTGTAACCGGCCATCCAGCTTAGTAGAAAATTTCCTTAACCTTTTGTTCCTCCTCCTAGGGACAGCTACAACAAACTTTGCAAAAGTACACATTAGTTAGTAAATAAATCAATCGGTATATGGTAAAACAATTCTTATATAATAAAACACTTGTTTCCCAATTTCCGTATTATCATCTCTGTCCTCGAGGGGAGGAGGCGTGTATGAATAAACAAACAACCAACATTGGCGGAAGCAGAATCGCTGAACACAAGTAAAAAAAACTAACCTGACTCCTCCGCGGCAGGACCGAATCCTCTACTTGGCTCATCAAAACATTTACTTCCTACATTGATAAGAAATCCTCCCGAGGACTTGACACTCTAAGATGGTGAAAGATATTCCTAAGTTTCAACGGACGGTGAAGCCACGAAGAACAAGGAAGGTGGAGCGAATTGTCGCACAAGAGCTGCGGAAGACTCTTCATTTACCGAACTTGAATTCCTTAGATATGACACACTAAGACGAATTCAAGGGTGACAATGAGAATCACTCTCGACAAGACTCCTGGATATGATACGCCAAGACGGATCATGCATTGATTAATAGATATTACACACCATTAACCAAACCAATGGATATTACACACCATTGACGAAAAATGATAAACACTTTCAAAAGGTTCCAAAAATATCAAAAATGTTTATTATTTTTATTCATGAGATAACCTCATTATATAGAGGGAAAATACATCAAAAACTTCCATAATAATAACTCAACATGCAAAGCATCTAGGGAGATGATATTCAAACTTTAAAGTGCATGTAAGAGAGAGAAATTGACATAATTAAATGTTGTTTTGCTATGTACTAAAATTGATTTTCCTTCATTCTTTTTTGGGCTGAATCCACTTAATTGAGGTTCTCTCATGGATCAAGATTGTATAACAACTTGGTTTGTAGCTTAAATCATTCTAACCCGTTTGGAAATCTTCGTTGAATGCACGCATATCTGAATCCGGTAAACTGGAGAACACCTGATTTGTAAAATCAATAACTTTTAGTTTGAACTCCGTTTGACTTGATTCTTTTTCGAGGAGTTTTGTTTTTGAGCTGAGCATCTTTTCCAAGTAGTTTTGCGCATCAATTCCTCGTAATTGAGCAGATTTTCTTCGAACAATGACGACGTATCTTGAAGCTTCCAATAATCATATCATACTCTCCCTCTTGAAAAAGATTTGCCCTCAAATCTGGATCATCATCTTTTTTTTTTTTTTTTTTTTTTTTGTATTTTGCTTTTTTTTTTTCTTTTTTTGTGACAAAAATATATAGATAAAATAGAAAAGAAGGTGAAAGACAAAAGATGAATGAAAGAAAATGAACAGGTGAGAAGATGATGGAATGATATAATGATAGACCGAGCTTAGAGTGTTGCTCTAATACCAAATGATAAGAAATCTTCCCGAGGACTTGACACTCTAAGATGGTGAAAAGATATTCCTTAGTTTCAACGAACAGTGAAGCTACGAAGAACAAGGATGGTAGAACGAATGGTCGCACAAGAGCTGTGGAAGACTCTTGATTTACAGAACTTGAATTCCTTAGATATGACACACTAAGACGAATTCAAGGGTGACAATGAGAATCACTCTCGACAAGACCCCCTGGATATGACAGACCAAGACGGATCATGCATTGATTAATGGATATTACACACCATTAATCAAACCAATGGATATTACACACCATTGACGAAAATGATAAACACTCTCAAAAGGTTCCAAAAATATCAAAAATGCTTATTCTTTTTATTCATGAGATAACCTCATTATATAGAGGGAAAATACATCAAAAACGTCCATAATAATAACTCAACATGCAAAGCATCTAGGGAGATGAAATTCAAACTTTAAAGTGCATGTAAGAGAGAGAAATTGACATAATTAAATGTTGTTTTGCTATGGACGAAAATTGATCTTCGTTCATTCTTTTTTAAGCTGAATCCACTTAGTTGGGGTTCTCTCATGGATCAAGATTGTAGAACAACTTTGTTTGTATCTTAAATCATTCTGACCCGTTTGGAATCCTTCGTTGAATGGACGCATAGCTGAATCCGGTAAACTGGAGAACACCTGATTCGTAAAATCAATAACGCTTTCGTTTGAACTCCGTTTGACTTGATTCTTTTTCGAAGAGTTTTGTTTTTGAGCTGAGTATCTTTTCCAAGTAGTTTCGTGCATCAATTCCTTGTGGTTGAGCAGATTTGCTTCGAACAATGACGACGTGTCTTGAAGCTTCCAATAATCATATCATAAATAGATAGGATAATATTAACTGAATTGAGCTTATATGCTTGACCATCGTCTGTTACCATGAATATAATTATACTAGTTGTTGACCCGCGCTGCGCGCGGGAGTTTTATAATTGTTTTTTATATTTTGATTTTTCTTTGTTTTCTGTTTATTTTTATTGTTTTTACTGTTGTTTTTGTATTAATTTAGTATATGAAATGTTTATTTTTATTTGTTTAACTTTGATTTAGGTCAAATAGTAGCTGTTAGAACCTTACATTTCAAAAGCCTTCAATTCTTGTAGGCCAAATTATTCTGGTGAATCCACTTATTTATTTATCCAAGTGTTTTCATTTTACTTTTTAGTTTTTTTTTTCTACTTCTTATGCCTAAAATCGGTTGTGTTTTCGTTTGAGGTGGCTTCGGATGACATCAATTTAGTGGTATATCTATCTGTATAGTATAAATATCTTTGCTTTGTATTTTGTTTTTGTATTTAGCCCCATTAATCAAAAAATTGATCATTACTTTATAAATAGATACTTGTTTTATTTATTTTGGACATTAATGTTTTTTACTATATTATTTATTTTCTTAAAACCACTATTGAATATAAAATAAAATAAAAGCTAAGTTATGAGGTAGAAAAGAAATTAAAAACTAAAGTGTTGTAATTCTAAATCAATGTAAAAAATTAAGATGAATGATGATGTGGGGTTTATATTATACATTATATTTGTTAGTATAATCGATAATTAGTAAGTTTTTTTAACCCTTAATCAATTATATTTTTTAGTTTTATAATGTATAATATAAAAAAAGACCTTTCATATTCATTTTGGAAAAACTTATTTACATAGGTTTAAATATTAAAATTAAATGATAAAATGGTATAATTAATTTTAAAAATTTAACAATAAAATGAGGTGGATGATGATGTGGCTTAAGGAAAAGAGAGAAAAAGTTAACTTTATATATATAGATTTTTGATTAATTAATAATTAATAAAGAACTTATAATTATGTATGACGACTTGACTGACATATGATAAAATTAAATAGGTAAATTGATACGGCAATATATAAATTAATCGTTAAAATGAACGTTGCGGGATTTAAAATAATATAAACGTTAATAAAATATGTAGCAGATAACTCCTTATATGGTTTAATACACTTGGATCACCTTTGATTTTAGCGGGCAGAAATAGTTAATTTGAACAAGGGTAACTCTAAACTTAATAAGTAACCATGTCGGTATCCATCTCAACAGGACCGGCCTCACTGATAACACCTAACACGACAGCGTCAGCTGTAGGTTCCACCACCTGAGGCAGTTTAAACAAGGGTTAATATATCTGTAATTGGAAAAAGGTAAAGTAATTAAGAACATACTCTATCTTCTTCAGCTCCCTCAGCTAAGGGTGAGGGTAAGGATTGTACTGCAACACTTTTGATAACTCCCACACCAGTCTGATCCATTATCTGAGAGAAAGAAAAAAAAAAACATCTACACTAAATTAAGCATTGCAAAGAGCGCAAGCAAATGAGTTATAAGATAACAATCCAAAACTTACAACAACGGTATTAGGATTAATTTCAACGGGTTTGTCATGCGCAATGTCCTTAACGGAAAACTCACAAAACTTCAAGAAAAATAAATACATATTAACAGCAGACTAATTTGTCTCATTAAACAAAGTTTGCATCCTAATTGAGATGATTAATGGTATACTTAATCTAACTAAACAATACATTTAAAGAAGTAAAAGATACCCCATACAAAACAACTAATCACAGAAAATAACAGTTGAAATAGCATAGCTTATAAGAATAAGCCTAACCTTCACAATAGCGGTAGATGACTGCATGTTACGGCATGCTGTCTGGTCAGAGACTTTGGCAGAAGGGTCATCGGGCCTGCCAACAACACACAAATCAATTAAATTTAAACTAAACATCCAAGATCAAAGATATATCCTAACACCGAGCGTATCAGTAAACAAAAACAATGTCAATCACTAACCGGTGACTTATCTGCTGCACTGCCAAATGCCTTCCCACGGTCACTGTCACCAAAACTGTTGGCACCGAGCGCTGCTTCAACGGTTTTATCAGCCAAAATCTTGATACTGGAGAAAAGAATAATGCAATAGGGCTGAGCATAATATTATACTTAAAAGAGAAATCTAACCGATTAGAGGAAGATAATACCTCTTGGCTGCCAGTATCACCAGACAAACGATTTTTAGTGCTGCCATCAGCCATCCCTATAGCGGTGGAAGCATTGTCTTCAGCGGCAGCACCAGCCACTTGATCAGACTTAACACCACCATAATCTAGTGCCTGGAGAAAAGAAAAGTGTAAAGGGGCTGACCATAATAATACATTTAATAAAGATATCTAACTGATTAGATAAATATAATACCTCTTGGCTGATAGTGTCACCAGACAACCTATTTTCAAAGCTGCCTTCACCGGACCCTTCAGCGACAGCAGCGCACCGTTCTACAACAACAGCTTCTACCGCGCCAACAATCGGTACTACCCCGACCTGCAACACCTCCGGCCTACTCCCGGCGACCTACACAGATGATGAGATTAATGTAAAGGAACAACATAAAAACAATGTGGAAAACTTAAAAAAAGGTTGCAAACCTCGGTTGGGATGGAAGAATAGCACGACATGATCTCCATAATTGAGCTGTCAACAATGTCAGGATCAATAACGTTATGAGCATCCACTGCAGATTGTGGAGCATTAACATTACACCATTCAATAAAGGGGCAGATGGAGGAGGCACAGCTGCTTGCTTATCGGCAGCTCCTTCTTTATCCAAAGTTCTAGCAGATTCAGCCAATATATTTGGATATTTTAAAATCTAAGTGGTAACACCTTTGATGATACGGTCCTCTATAGCAACAAGTTTTGAATCCAGCAATCGCGACAGGGTTGCAAGGTTTCATGTTCCGGTTAGTCCAGAGGCTGCTCCCGAAGAGGAATGTTCAACAGTACTTAACGCAGTTTGGCTAGTGGGAACAATCTGACCTTTCCGAGCACGGATAATTTTAGCCTTAACACCCCTTTTCTGTTTCTTCGGCGCCAGCTCAAGCTGAGATGGTATATAGCCACCGGTAAACATATCGTTACTGAATAAAAACCCCTTTGCCGCGAGGGAGACAATGTTATCAACCGCCGGGACTTCTGAATCATCTTCCCAAGTCAAATCCTCCTTAGGCTCCAACTCGAGATCAGGGATTATTATTGGGTCGACTAGTAACTGCATATAAGAAAATTTAAACAAGTAAGCACTAAATACATATTTAGTGAATAAAGTGTTGATAAGGAGATAAATTAAAGATTAAATGATAAAACGAAGTATACTAGACTAACCTCGCAATTGCAATCTAGACGTCTGGCGTTAGCAATCTTCAATGGTACTGCGGAACGGTGTCCTACTTCGAGCACCGGTTATCCATCAGAATCGCTACAATCGGGCTCCTCAGAGGGGGATTCTTCTTGGATGGTCGGAGCTGCTTGCAGAATCACTAGCTGTAGAGCGTATAAGAGACCTTGAACAGCAGCACAAGTTGTAGCCAATTGCTCGACATCTATCTCTTTGATAGACTTCATCATCATTTCGAAAGACAAACGGCCCCAAGGATAAGAAAGGAAAAAATTTAAATCCTCAGCCATTTCAACGTGCCAGAAACCCATCAACTAGAGCCAAACAAACATATATTCGCGCATGTCTTTGTCTTCCACAATTTTGTTCTGAAAATCATGGAGAGTGTCTTCATTTTATTGTAGACATTTACCCTTTCCCCCAAAGGTTCTTCTCCGAAGGCAATGAGACGGTTGGGAAGATCTAGATCCGCCATCTAGTAAGAAATATAGAAAAAAATTAAAAACAAAATCCCCAATAGGAAAAAAAATAAAAACGAGTCTAATCGATACACAACACTTACCAACTTGACAATTTTCTGATGGATAAGAAGCGAAAAGGGCGGATTTGACCAACCAATTTTAGAGAGTGAGACAGAAGGGGGGAAACTACGACCGGCGTTGCGATGTTTTTCTCGGCAGAGAGATAATACAGAATAAAAACCAACGGAGGATTTTTAATGTGGATCGAGGAGACGCGACTGTTGATAAGCCGATATCTATATGCGCCGTTTGATACATAAATGACAACATCTCTATTTAACTTCTCGATGACAAAATCAAAAAGAAAGATATGATCTCTGCTCAGTATAGAGTCAATAGAGTACTCTATTGTGGTAGCTATAGGGAGAAGATTGTCTTGAAATTTATCAGCTAAATAAGATTTTAAGGGGTGCATGGATTAATCCCTATATTAGTAAAAGAGAAGTACAAAAAGTGCTTACGGGTCGGGTTAATTTCAAAAAATTACCCGAAATTTGTAATTGGATCTTTCAAATTGGATAGATTAATGGGTTTGGATACATACACCGGATACTTTCCAAATCTAATTTTAGGATTGTATTATTTCCATAACTAATTATAAGATTTACTAATATTTCTCTAACTAATTTAATACAATCTATTTAAAAAATATTATTCTTCTTTCACTTTTATTTGATATTATTTTTAATTTATGATATTATACTATATAAGATAAATATTTAATAAAAATTTAACTTTTAGTTTGCATATGTTGCAATTTGAATTTTTCAAAACGGACATATAATACTCAACTACACTCGGTTAAATATTTTGGACAATGGTTTAAAATCATTATAAGTATGACCAATATTAAAACCATTGTTACATGAGCATATTTAAAATTTCAAATAGTTCCAAAATATTATAAATATAAGGTTCAAATATATAAAACTTTTAGAATTTAAAATATTGAAATATTTTTTTGACGACATAAA